AAGTACACAATAACTCCATAGGTTAAGTAGGACTTATCAAGCTCCTAAAAGATATGGATTCCTCATGGACAAAGATGAGTTTATCATAGATGATGATCCTACTACCTATCAAGAAGCAATGTTGGGCATTGATTTTGAAGAATGGCATGAGGTTATAAAATTTGAAATAGAATCCATGTACGCAAACCAAGTATGGACTTTGGAGGAACCATCTAAAGGGATAAAACCCATAAGGTGCAAGTGAGTTTTTAAGAAAAAAATCGACATTGTATGGCAATGTACAAACATACAATGCCAGGCTAGTTGCAAAAAGTTATAATAAAAAACAAAGAGTTGATTTTGATGAAACTTTTTCACCAATAGCCATTTTAAAATCCATTGGGATTTTGCTTGCTATTGGCCATAAACCATGACTATAGATATGAAAAATGGATGTCAAAATGGTATTCCTTAATGGGAATTTACAAAAGGATGTGTACATGACATAACAAGAAAGTTTTGAATCCAAAGAGAATACCGACATGGTGTGCAAGCTTCAAAAGTCCATCTATGGACTTAAGCAAACATCAAGAGTTGGAATATACATTTTGATGAAACAATTATAGAATTTGATAAAAAAACATAAATGAACTTTGTGTATACAAGATGATAAGTGAGAGTGCAATTATTTTCATAATGCTAGGATCTATAAAGATGGATTAAAGAGGTTGCTTGGTTCTCATAATGATACATAGATAAAAATTTAAAAAGATTTAGCATGAAAAACTCCAAAAGGGGATTATTGCCAGTGTCCCATAGCATAAATCTCTCTGAGGACATGTTTCCTTCGACACAAATAGAGAAAGATGGAATGAATAAGGTTCCATATACTTTGGTAATTAGATCCATTATGTATGAAACGCTATGCATAAAGCCTAATATGTCATATGTTTTAAGCATAATAAATAGATATCAAGCAAATCTAGGTGAATGTCACTAGTAGGCCATGAAAACAATCCTTAAATACTTGAAAAAAACTAAGGATGTGTTTTTTGTCTATGGTGGAGCTAAACTCCTTATTAAGGGCTATTGTGATGCAAGCTTCCAATCTAATAAGGATGATAGCAAGTTTGAAAGTGGCTATGTTTTCACTATGAATGATGGAGCAATGAGTTGGAAAAGTTTCAAACAAAGTACAACTATAGACTCTATAATCGAAGCTGAATATATTTTTGCATTTGAGGCTACGAAAAAGGTTATTTGGATTAAGAAGTTTGTAACTGAACTAAGTGTTGTTCCTAGCATTGTTGATCTAATAACAGTCAATTGTGACAACAATGCAGCTATCACTTAAACCAAGGAACCAAGGTCTTATTAAAGATTCCAATATGTATTGAGGCAATATCATCTCATTAAAGACTTTGTATCTAAAAAAGATGTTAAAATTAAACAAGTACCCACTGAGGATAACATCTTAGTAGAAACATGATAAACATATAGTCGAATATGGTATTAAATACATGAATGATTGGCTATAGTGCAAATGAAAGATTATTGGTATTTGCCCTTTAAGTTGAATGATATTTTGGCTAAAACATTGTCATATTTATAGTACTTTGATATTTTATATTTGATATCTTATAAAGGGCATATTATTTATCATAGAGCTTGTATACATGTATTTCAATGGTATTGCAAGGGAATTATAATGAGATTGTAATTAGGAAATCATCATTTCATATAAGCTATATGTTCTAAAAATAGTTCCTAGCCTATGCTTTATCAATAAGAAGACATTAACAAAAGCTATTAAGATTAGCACATGGTTATGCTCTGGCTTATGAATCAAGTAACCAATTTCATAAGTTGAAGTTTGGGTAAACTTAAGCTAACATATAGGTGCTTGTTAGAAGAACAAGTTCACTGAACATGACCCGATATAAGAATTTTATATGGTAGTTCACATAATGTCTATAGCTATATTCTCATGTGATGGTTGTATAATGATCCTTTGGCTTGAGATTACTTATGATCTTATATGATGAATGTTATACTTTAGCTTTGCTTTACTTATGGTTCTAACCAAGGAGGCTCTGATTGAGTATTGTTGGGTATAACATGAGGCATGTGAAAATGCATGAAATAATTAAGATGGGATTCATCACTTTAGTGATCAAGAGAGTATCCCAACTAATCTTGGTTGAATTAACTTGAGAAATCTTTGACCAAAGTGAAATAAGAGTTTGGAATTGTTCTAAAGCTTATTTGTGAGTTAATGTCAAGGACAAAATTTAACATGATTGAATAAGATTGAGTAGACACTAAACCATACTCAATATTCAAACTGAAATACTATGTAGTGAAAGGATATTAATTATATACTAAGACTATTCACGGATAGGTTGTCAAGTCATATTGACTTTTTTTTAGTAATTATGGGTCATGGCAATGAAGCTAGCATTAATTATGATCTATAAATATAAGATTGGCCAATTGAAGAATTAGTGATGAAGACAAAGAGTTTGTTTCATCCATAACCGAATACTAAGGCTAACAATGTTTGTATTTATTGCCAACATAATAAAGAACCTAATAGATCATACACAATATGACAATTATGAAAGATTAAAATTAGGACAAATTAAGTTGAACTTGATTTGATTTTAATATGATAAAAAATTAGAGGAAATAAAAACAAAAAAGAGTTTCCCTTGTTTTGGTACATTTAGTTAGCATAAGGTTAATGTGAAAATTTGCACTTCATGTATTAAACTTATTGCGGTTAAATGCTTTCCCTATAAAAAAAAAAATTAAGGTGCCTTCTCTTGTACAATTCTTGTAACACTATTCTTCTAAAAATAAACCAGATTCACTTTAGTTAAAAATAAGCTAAAAGAGTCTAAGCAAAACTTGAGAGAATACAAGAGAGCTCAAAAACACTTACTAGCTAAAGTGTGGCTTTGAGTTCTACCAAATCTCAAAGAAAGTTCTTTCACAAGAGTTTATGTGGATCATCATTAAAGGCTAAACACTTAGATAGCTTTTTGGCTCGGGATACTATTTGGAAGGTCACTAAATTCAATCAAAGGAATTTTGGAATCCAAGGTAGCCACCTAAGCCGAAACCCATGCATGCTTGTGAATTTGTATATTTGTATGATCTTGTTGATTGATCTTGACTTTATGGAATAGAATTTTAAAAATTCCATTGCTTTAGCTTCATATATTGATGCATAATTCCTTCAATACTTTTTTGGAGTTTGATATTTGTGTTTGAAAAGAGTTTTTATGACTTAACAAGTATAGGATTTACAAGGGAAAATTTTGTTTCTTGGATTTTCTTATCTTTTTGAATATAATATATCTTATAAAGAGAATTTAACTTGGAGGTTGAAGATTTTCTAAGTATAGGAGAAGATGAAGAAAAAGAACTACAAGAGGAGTTAAGGTAGTGGTCTGATTAAGATTGATGATTGTTTAGGCTCGATTATCTCAATCCACCAGTCAAACAATGTCACAATTTTCTTGTTTTATTTTAGCAAGTAGGGCTGTTATACCAGAAAAAATCCATTCATTTACGCTTAAGAAACTATAAGGTAAGGCTATTTAGTTCATGAAAGTTTGGAAAGTTTTTTTAACAGAAAATGAATAGAGGGAAAATGAAAAGTTTTAGTTTGTTTGGATATAAAAAAATTTGGATAAAATTTTTCATTACTAGATTGGTCAAAAGAGAATATTAAATTGCAATGTTACATTCTTTTTCATTTTATTAAAAGAAATTAAGAATATTAAAATTAAAATACAACTCCAACAACTTATACCTAACAAGACCAATCACACCTAAGTGATCCAATTATTTTTAAAAAAAGCCAACTGATACAGAAAAAAAAAAATGCAAACACTTGATCTATAACTTGAAAACTCCCAACCTCAAATGTCTAACCAAAGAAATTAATATTAAAGAAAAAAGTTCCTTTACAAAGACTAAAGAGATGGAAGCAGCTGTAAGCAAATCCATATATATATATATATATAGAGCACCTATGGCTCTCAAGAATTACTAATAGTTATAAGCCTCATTTGGATGATGATTGTCAATGGTGAGACATGATTAAAACCCTAAACTGAACTTATCATCCTTTTGGATGAAATCTACGGTATGGTACAAATTAATTTTCACTGCCCTGCAATTATAATACTTGATTGGTACTTTGAGATCCAGTGAAAAAACTCACCTCTACCATCCTTTACCTTTCCAAAAAAGTCTATTCGTTTTGTTTTTTGCTTTTGAGATTAGGGATGAAAATGTATTTAGATTTTCTTCTCCATTTTATAACTATGATTATATTTTATTAATTTAATACAATAAATAAAATTTATAATTATATAATAAAATAGAATTATTAAATAATTAAAAATAGAATAAATACAAAAATAAATAAATAATTCTATAATCAAATAAGAAATTAATAAATAAAAAACTAATATCATTGTAATTAATATGAGTTAACTAAAATAAATATTTACATAAATGATAAAGAAAATAAATATTAATTAATTTTTATATGATAAATATACTATTGTCTTTTGGAATAATTATTATTTTTATATAAAAATCATCATATAAATAAATATAAAAAATAAAAAATAATTAAACTGTACTTTGTGAAGATTCAATTTTTGTGAATATACTAATATCAATTCTTAAAATAATTATTTGATATATTACTATCACTCTTTTTCATTTTTTATTTCTTAAAAAATTATTATTTAATATAAAAATAATTTTAATAATGTTTAATTATTTATTAACTTTATTAATGATATATTTTAAATTTTCATTACAAATAAATTTTAATTTAATTTCTTTTAATGATTTTTTTTATATTACATATCATCTAATCGACACCGACATATTTACATTTAAATATACATTTCATCACTGATTTTAATATCAATATTACAATAATTAATCTTAACGTCACTATTATTTTTAATTTCACCAAAACAATCTTATTAACAATCTTATTGCGCATCCAAATGATCTCATAGTCATCGCCACCAAATATTCACCCCTCATCCCCGCCAAATATTCACCGCTTCGTTGAATTCTGGTGGGTTCTGTCGGGGACCTTGGCTTTGATCGGTCCTTAAGTGTCTACTTGCTACAACTGTACGGATGAAGGAGAGATAAACGATACGGGATGAACGAAAACAGCATCAAATAAATTTTCCCCCTAATGTTTTTTCCTTTTTCTTCTTCATTCTTTCGAGAGGAAAAAGAAATAATTTGTTACTGCCTTTCATTATATTTTCTTTAGTTAAAGTTTCCCTCATGTTTTTTCATCGCCACAAAATATAAGAAAATGTGATCCTTACATTTCATTTTCCTTTGCTCGAAAAATTCCATGAACCAAACAAGGCCTCAGAGCGCATCAAGACAGCCACACACCACAAGCACAAACATCCTCCACCCGGCCTTTTCCCTACCATAATTCAAAACATCCCCTGTTTGCGGTGTTAGGAGAGGGTTAATTTTTTAATTTGATGAAACAAGCAGGCAACAAATGCGAGAAATATGGAATGCTAAATTATACATTTACTATGGACGAACATAAGAAATATATACAGAGCAATCCGAGCAAGGAGATCACTTCCGTACAGCTTTATCCAGCAGAAGCGTCAGCAGCCTTCACAAATCGACCTTTCACTCGCTTCCTAGTATCAGCTCTTGCCTTCCTCGATTCATATCGGATGTGTTTATCATACCTATTTATTGCATGGGTTAAACTTTAACAACAAAATCATTTTGATAAAAAACGGTTATTTGATGATAACAAGCAAACCAGAAAGGAAAAGATACCTTCGTGTTTTCTTCTTCTCCTTGTAGCGTTGCATGGCATTGCCTCTGTTTTGTGCCAGCAACTCAAGATCAGCCTTGTTAGGTGCTGCTGGCCTTGCTTGGGCACCCTTCACAAGGAAAGGTTGCTGCATGAAGTGAACATCATTAGAACTGCTAGAACATTTGGTTTTACCAAAAGCTGCACCCGAAGATGGCCTTGCTATTGGTATGTTGTTGCTCTCAGATGTGGCTGGTCCTTGATTTGCACCTGGATTACTCGGGTTATTCTGCATTTTCAAGCTCCATAATCAATACTCAAAAAGTCTTTAAAATTGGCAAAAACAAAGCTACGCATACTGCATCTATGGGAGGAGATTGCCGAGTCATATGTGCAACAATTTCCAATCAAAATTCTAAGTTCTGACCTGATCCTACATATATCAAACAAAGAGAACATGGAGCAAATAGACCATCTACATAACCCATCAAACAGTAAGGTCAATAAAGGTCATTGGTTGGGTTTATGTTGGCTTGCATATCTCAAATTCACAAAAGAGTATCAATTTGTATTAATCTTTCTCATGCTTCTCGTCCACATGTTATACCCGCAGAAACTCCAATAAAGGATCTAGATATTATGCGTACAGACGAAATGCTTTTCATTAATTATGCAGAATAAGAAAAGGAGGGTATATATAGCATGGTCGTATTAATTATATATGCTATTAAGAATTTGAAAACAGGATACACGTATACACTATAAATCAAGCAAGTAAAAAAGAAACGGTGTCTCTCTAAAACTAATCAACATCCCCTATTGTTAGATTGCAATATTATTATATGGTGCTATACATGATACACTTTGCCAGACCGAGTGAAGAAAAAGTATACTTGTACGGAAAAGAGTATAACAATAAGAAAATTTTAAATCAACGTAAGGCTATTAGACAAAATCACACGAGAGATTAATAAGAAAGTGAAGGAGGCGGGTAGTGGGGAGGAACACACATTATTGACTGAAGCCATATCGTCTTGTGAAGTAGGAGGGTAGTCGATGTGGCAAATATCTCCCAGCAATTTAACATTTGTCAAAGACGTGTCTTTCATAAGTTCACTGAAATTCTTAATCTTGAAACCAGCATCACTTCCCCCGTACCCAACTTCTTCCGATTGGGATTTGTTACACTCTTCCTCACCCCTCAACCGCCCTAACTTAAAATCCCATATCTGTAAAAAATTCTAACCAACATGCCGTCACTGTTTAAAATTTCTACTGCTGGTAAGATTTTTCATAAAATAAAATAAAATAAAAAAGTACCTGAGGAGTTTGAACATTTAAATTACCATTCCACAATACATTTACTCCATCCACAACGCGTTCGCTCTCTTGCGTTTGCATCATAAGCAAAGAAGTAAACGGCGTTTGCGTTTCCTGTTGCAGTTGCGGCTGTATGACGTCTTGTCGAGCCAAAAAGCTGCCGTTTGATTCCACGTTTGACACCAGATTCTCCCCAACTCCGCCGCCACCGTCGGCGACAACGCCGCCCATGAAATCTCTTTTCATCAAATCCACAAGCTGCTTATAAATAACCTGCTTGCACTTCCCACTTCCGAGATTCTGCTTCTTCAACATCTCCCCGTAGCTAAAACTATCGTAAGGTACCATCATCTCTTGCACGCTCGTTTTGTAGGCCCACGATTCCACCGCTGGCATCATCAAATCTTGGTAGTCCCTGTTCCAGCTCTGATCAGAGAGTTTCTTCTCTTCGAGATCATATCCCCAAGCCGAAGCCAGCTCCAGAGCCGATGGGCAGCCAGAAAACCCTTCCACGGGGGTGCGATCGTGTGTGGCCGACACAGAGCAACCACCGTGCGCGTCCCAATCACACTCTTGACAAAGAACCAAACTATCTGTTGCGCACCGAACGGAAACCGGTTCGGTGCCACAATTATCGCAGATCTGAGAGCGGAGATGCTTGCGGGAGAGCAGGTTCGCGGAGTGCACGTGCTGGTCGCAGAATAAACAAAGCTTGGCCGAGTCAGCTCGGCAGTAGAGAACCGCTATTTGCTCGTTGCAGAAACCGCAGGGCACCGTTCCCTTGCCCTCCGGTTTTGGACTAACCATAGTTTGGGGAATTTCGTTAGTAAATATTCTTTTTTGGTTTTGGTAAGATATTTAAAATTGAAAATGAAACCCTAGCCCAGAAGAGATAGAAGTTGAACTTGAAGCAGTTAATAATTGAAAGCGTAACGAGGGAAAATCACAATGAGGGGAAAGGCAGATGAGTTCGAGTTTAGTCTTTTAATCATCACTTGGCATCTAATACCAGTATGTCCTTTTCATTTTTCCTTCTTTCCAAATTTAGGAACTGTGTTTCTTAATAGTATTTTAAGAGTTTCATTAGTTTTGACTCCGTATCAATATGGCTTAAAGCGTGGACGGTTGGTTTAGCAGCACCGGAAAGGATGACGAAAAAATAGAAAAAATAATTTCCAAATCATAGTGTTCGGATGAAAATTAATTTTTTATTTAATTTGATGAAAATTAAATATTAAATAATTAAATTTGATTTGAGTTTATTTTCCGATTATGAAATAAAATACCTAAAATATATCAATCAAGTTTAATTATATTTTTTTAATTAATTTTTATATAAATTTTAATTTTTTATTAAATAAAAATAATTATTATATATAAAAATTTATTTGAATATATAAAAAATAATGTGAAAATAATAGAAAAAATAAACTTAAAAAATGGATAAGCAAACCAAAAGAATTAAGTTCAAATAAATTTAGTTTTAAAGGAAGCTAAATTTAGATTTGATTCAATTTTTAAAATTTTAGAATACTACCCATTAACCAAAATAATCAGTAGGTCGATGGTGAGAAAAATTCTCATTGCACCACAATTATGTTTTTATAATATTTTATAATTTGATCTTTTAAAGGTTCACTCATACAACAATATCATATTACAGCACTTTAAATTAAAATCTTGAAAATTAACTCTTTCTCCTCATAAGAGAATTAATTTTTTAATGATTCTTGTATTTTATCTCATTATAATCCCCCCCTCCAAAAGGTAGAACTATTAGAAACAAATTTAAAACTTTAAATTTTCTTTTTATTTTGTCCTTATTAAGTGCAAAAGAAAGAAAAGATACATTCAATATATGCGTCTTTTATGATTTATTGTAAATTATAAGGATGTATTAACAAAATTAAAAAGATAATTGATTAATGAAATAATTCATAACGTAAATATAAAATTTATCTATTCACTTCACTTCTTGATTGTATTAAAATGAGTTTTCATTTGGTTACATAGCATGTTTTCTCATGTATTCTTGTGTATTCTTGTATAATCTTGTGTATCATTGTGTTGTAATCAAATTGCCATGACTAAATCAATATTTAAACAAGCTAAATCAAGTTATTAGTCATCAAAAACAAAATTGAAATCTTCACAAAACAGTTTTGATTAAATTTCAATTCAATAAGATAGATTAAAAATAACCCGAAAACAAAACTCTTTTATAACATGGTAACAAGTTAAGGATCAAGCCAATTCAATTCATAAACAAACTGAGGCTCTGATACCACATGTAGGATTCGACCATACTTATCACATAAACATACATTCAAAAACTTGAATAACCACAATGAAAATAAACAAAGAAAATTGAATCCATACAAGATCATTTTGTTATGACATCTCAATTTGTAAGAATTCAAGACTTGCAAACATGAGTCTTGTTTATAACTCAAGCATAGGATTGAGTAAAATCCAAAGCTAAACATCCTTCGTTGTTATGTTGTACATCAATGCCCAATTGCAATGATTGTTAAATTTATAGCTTTTTATAAGTCTATTTAGCTTTGAAATTTTGAAAATTTTAGGAAATTGGTGCTTTAATGTGTTGAAATCTTGATTTTTAGGTTTTAGTCAATATAAACATAAATAACATGAGCCATGCAATATTGGAGGATGATATTCTACCAAGACATATAAAGCTTATTAACAAGCCCATTCAGCCATGCACCTAAGGGAAGCTAAAATCCATGCAAAGTTGGCAATAAGTGGCCTATGATATAGCCAAATCCAAAAGCCAATGGATGATTATGTTATGTTTGGCCAAAGAAGAGAGTTTTAAGCCAAGTAAAACAACTCAAGAAGGTTAAGGCAAAAGTTATTGTGCACAAAGGACTCTTATCATTAAGAGTTCCTATTCAAGTGAACCAAATCAAGAAAATATGGTCTTGGAGTTTTAATTTAGCTAAATATCCTATTTAAATTTCAAGATAATGTTGATTTGGCAAGACACATAAGCATGGAAGCACAAATGGACCAATAAGGAATCCCATTTGGCCAACACAAGCTCATCTTATCCAAGAGTTTCCCACATTCAACCAATCTCTTCTCAAATTCAATATCACATTTCAATCTTAAAAGAATTTAAGCTAAAGTGGAATTGTCACAAGTTATCTCTCTTTGGCTAACCTTTGTGCTATAAATAGGCTAGACCATTTCACCTGTAAAGCATCTTTCAATCTCTTGTTCTAGTTTCTGTTTCTTTTCTCCTATTTTCTCTCTAGTTTCGATTTTCAATAATTTCTTGTAATTCTTTTTTAGTTTCAGCTAGGGTGACAAACTAGCCAATATTCTTTTGTTTTCTCAAGCTATTTTCAATATAAGTTTGTTTTTATTTTTAACCAAAAGCTTTTTTTTTCTTACTTTGCATGTGTAGTCTTTATTTTCCAAGCACTTTCTTTTACTTTTAAAGCTTTCAAGTTTTGGTTTTGTTATTATCATATTTCTCTTTACATTCGGCCAACCTTATTTCACAATTATTTAGTTTCCAATTACAATTTAATTGCAACTAGCTTTTTTTTCTTTTCTTGTTTATTTGGCCAGCCCCTATTGCTACCAAGTTATAGTTGGCTAGCTTGGCACTTGGTTCTTACATTTTCAGCACCTTTATTTTTTCTTTCAATTAATCAACTTTTTGATTTGTCTAAATATAAAGCTAGAAAGAATCTCTTTTGATACTTGGTTTCACGCCCTAAACATAATTCTTAAGGGAACGATATTTTACTTCATCATCATTATTATTTGGATGCAACCTATGCACTTATAGACATAAAAAGCAGTAATTAAGTTTTTGGTGTCACTACTTGGGATTAATGTCAATGTTGGAAAACCAATACTAATAACATTTCTTTCTTCTTTGTAATTTAGATTTCCTTTTCACTTTTTGCTCTAATTTGTATTGATCTTTTTTTTTTTTAATGCTTGCATAGGCAGATCTTAAAGTGTTGATTTAGCTCTATTTGATAAACAAATCAAAAGAACATTTAGGTGACTTAGACTTAAAAAAACAAACAATTTGATCACCATGGCAAATGCAGTAGTTGAAGGTAAAAAATGATCAAAGATTATTCTATCCCTAACCCTAAGGGCTTTCAACTATCCATTCGAAGGCCAATGATCCAAGCCAACAAGTTTGAAATCAAGCCTTTAATCATACAAATGGTCCAAATTTTTGTGCATTTTGGAGGACTACCAAATGATGATCCTATCTCTATCTCTCTAATTTCCTTGAATTATGCAATACTTTTAGATATAATAAAGTTTCTAATGATGTAATTAGACTAAGGTTATTTTTTTTCTCTTAGGGATAAAATGAAGAGTTGGCTATGTTCACTACCCTCTAGTTCCATTACAACGTGTATTGCTCTAGTCCAAAAGTTCCTCACAAAATTTTTTCCATCAACCAAGATGACAAAGATGAAGAATGAGATCACAACCTTCTAGTAATATGATGGTGAGACATTGTATAATGCGTGGGAGAGGTACAAAGAGATATTGCACAAATTCCCCACCATGGTCTCCTATAATGGCTTTAAGTTCAAATTTTTTATAATAGGCTAACTCCATCAACAAAAACCATGATTTAGCTGCTGGTGGAGCCGTCATGAGCAAATCAATTGAAAAAGCCTATGATCTGATTAAAGAAATGGTAACAAATAACTACCAATAGGGAATCGAAAGAAGGGTCCACAAGAAAAATTCTAAGGTGTACAAGATATCACTTTAACCTTAGGAACCCAGTTACTTATCACCCTTGTTCAAGCAATTTAAAGCCCATTTATAACTTGTGATATTTGTAAAGGTCCACATTCCTCTGATAGGTTCCAATTTAAGGTATAAACCGTGCAACATTCATCATAACCTAAACCTTTTATAACCCTTACAATAATACCTATAATCTAGGATCGAAGAACCATCCCAAGTTTTATTGTAACCAAAACCAAAGCAACCACCAAAACACCAACCAAACATCCAATTTTTGCCAGCACCAACCAGCCTATAATCTATCCCAAGAAAAGAAGCCTAGCCTTGAAGACATGTTTTCACAGTTGTTGCAAGTTGAGAACACCACAAAAAGTAAGAAGCAAGGTAAAGAGGTGCACAATGCCATATTTTCCTATAGAGAAGAAGAAACTTCTTTAATGATGAGGATGAGTTAATGGATGAACCAATGGTGGTGAAATTGCCAAGTTTTGTGAAAATGCTTAAAGAGGAGTACATGGAAGAGGAAGTTGACATGGAAAATGAAGAGTTATTACAATTTGAAAAAGAAATTTTGAAGAGTTTGGATACAACTATTGGTATTTACCTTTCAAACCAAATCATATTTTGGCCAAGACATTGTCATATTTATAGTACTTTGATATTTGATATCTTATAAAGGTATTACCTCTTTATCATTGAGCTTGTGTATATATATATTTCAATGCTGATGCTTATATGATAAACACCTCAGAATATAAATAAAACTTTAAAAAGAAATTACAATGAGATTGTAATTATGAGATCATCATTGTTTGAAAGCTTTATGTTCAAATATTATTCCTAGTTGATGATTTATCAATAAGAGAACATTGACAAAAGTTGTTGAGACTAATACATGGTTATACTCTTGTTTATAAAGCAAGCAACCAATCTCATAGGTTGAAGTTTGGGTATACTTGAGCTAATATATGGGTGCTTGTTATGAGAACAAGTTCATTGAACATAACCTGATATGAGAATGTTATGATAGTTCACATAGTGTCTATAGCTACATTCTCATGTGATGGTTGTATAAGTGATCTTTTGACTTAAGATTACTTATAATCTTATATGATGAATGTTATACTTTGAGATTGATAATCTACAAGTGCACAAAGCTAGCACAAGTAATATAAAGTAAGTAGAGTATCGTTCCCACATACATTGTAAATAGAGGATAATTAAGTACCGAAATTATTTTGCCCTAGTTATATCCAAACAACCAAATAAGCAATTAACTAATCTATTATGCAAAACTAAAGTTAAACTAAATAACATTTAACTAAACCAAATGTAATAAGTATTATTAACATGCAAAACAATCCACAAA